AATGATTCTACAACCAACCTGCATTGTCTAACTCATCAAGAATAAGTGAAGCAAAATGGAATTTGAGGCCGTCGGGAAAAGAGCGATCTGAAATGATTACAATTCTTCCATAACTTTGACAAGGAAGAAAAAGCGTTAAGAGACCATACCAGTCGATAAAGTCGTATTGCGAAACGCATCCCAGTAAGCGTCTCTCACTAATTTCTTCCACTTCAACGAAGCTAGGTATTTGAATAATGCACGCAGAACACGACGCATCATCTGGAATCTGTATTTTAAGATATCGACGCTGTAGCATATCAAAGGAATAATAAATGAAATGAAGAAAATTAGAAAAGTGATACTCTTTTAAGAAGAGGTAGTAGCATCAACCCACCATCAAAAATTTATCCATACGCCATCTATCAATGTGATTCCATTCTTTTGCAAGACTTTTAAAAATGGATTGGATGAATAGTACTCGCTGTTCTTCGTTCGTGAAAACAAGGAAGAGTTGACTGATTCGGTCAGCTAATTCTTCCTTGAACAAACTATCTTTGAAGACCCAAACTATAAAGGATTCAAGTCGAAGCCAAAATATACCTGCAGCAGCATTTTGTCTTGCATCCATAGAACATAATGAAGTCCCTTGCACAATCGTAGCATGTCCACTTCGGTGAAGGCTGAAAAAGAAGAGTTAGTATCGTGAAGTCCAAAACAAAGTCAACATAAATACTCACGATTTACTGAAGATTGCTGTTTTATCCAGTCTTGCAAAGCTCGAAATGCTCGTTGCCTTGTTAAGGGCTCTCCACAAGCTAATTTTTGAGCAAAAACAACCTCTACGCTCGTTAAATCCGCTTGCATTTGGTGCTAAATCGTCATAAGTATTAGCCCAGTTTTGAAAAAAAAACCTGGGAAGGGATAGCTCCAATGTATCAGTTTAACATCAAATTCCCGACTAAATATGCAAGTATCAAGAAATAAACTTTTTCTCTCCGAAATGGCGTAAAACATCCCCGAAGTACGCAACATTTTTGCGTACTTCCCAAATTATGAATTTCTCTTTGAACGTAGTGCAAGCAATGAAACCACAGCTTATAAAGGGGTGGCGGTCAAGAATAACGATAGCTTGCACCAGCCGCCGCTGCGACCCCGAGCAGCCTGCAAGTAGCCTCGCTTTCAAAGAGCGTACGCCCGCGCAACATGCTGCGTGCGTGTTACGAAAGAGCACGAGAGGCGCTCCGCTCAACCCAAATATGTCGCGGTTAATATGAAAGTGGAGGTATAGGTTCAGAAAATAGACGATTTTGAGAAGATGAACGCTTTGCGTTGCTCTGCTGCAATTGTTTTCGCGTTGTTCGAGAAAGACAAAAAAAAAAGAGAAAAGAAACAGATTATTAGGAATGAATCCTTT